TTGGGAGAGATCATGAGAGGGAGGGGAGGAGAGATAGCAGGAGAGAGATAGGTAGAGTTGGGGGAAGATAAGGGGAGAGATAGGGGTTGAGATATGTAGAGATCAGGGGAGAGACAGGAGAAGAGATAAGAGGTGGACGAGAGATGGGGACAGAGATACGGAGAGATACTAGGAGAGATAGGGAGGGAGAGATATAGGAGGTGAGATAGATAGTAGGAGTTGGGGAGAGAAGTAGGGGGAGAGATAAGGAGAGAGGGAGAGAGGATAGTGAGAGAGCAGGAGAGAGAGAGAGAGAGGAGGTGAGATCGGGAGAGAGGTAGGGAGAATGATAGCTGGAGAGACAGGAGGGGAGAGAGGACGAGTGATACGGAGTGAGATAGGGAGATGTCGTGAGAGAGACGGGGAGAGATCAGGAGAGAGAGAAGGTGAGCTAGGGAGAGAGGGACAGAGATAGGGGGAGAGAGGACGAGATCATGAGAGAGAGAGGGGGAGAGACAGTAGGAGAGATAGGAGAGAGAGGGAGAGAGATAGGGAGCGAGAGGAAGAGAGATAGGGAGAGAGATACAAGGAGAGAGAGGGAAAGAGATACGGAGAGAGATAGGGAGAGAGATAGAGAGACACGGGAGAGATAAGGGGACCCATAGGAGGAGAGATAGGAGGGAGATAGGGAGTGATATAGCCAAGAGATAGGAGGAGAGCTAGGGAGAGAGATTTGCAGAGACAGGGAGATACAGAGGGAGAGAGATACAGAGATAGAGATAGTTGGAGAGATCATGAGAGAGATAGGCGGAGAGAGGACGAGTGATAGGGAGCAAGATGGGAGAGTGACAGGGAGAGCGAGCAGGAGATCATGAAAGAGGAGGAGAAAGATAGGGGGAGATTGGGAGAGCGTCAGTAGGAGAGGTAGGAGAGAGATAGCCGAGAGATGCAGGAGAGAGATCGGTAGAGAGCTAAGGGGAGAGACAGGAGGAGAGGAGATGTAGGAAAACAGATAGGGAGGGAGATAGAGGAGGAGATGGGGGAGAGATGGGGGAGAGATAAGGGGACCCATAGGAGGAGAGATAGGAGAGAGAGAGGGAGCGATATAGCCGA